AGGTACGTTATATGAACACAGTAGAGGTGGCGGTGCCTTTGTGTTGCCCACACTGAGGTACAAAATAAAAAATAAAAATACATATTCGACCGTACGGTACAGGATGAACTCGATATCGATAAACGCATATATTACCTTCAGAGAAAGGTTTCTAACGCTTTGCATAATAACGTCTGTTAAAAACACAGTTGCTCACTGTTTTAAGGTTATATCAAATTTTATACATATACCTACTTATATTTTTAACCGTCAATCATAAATTATTTGACCGGAGGATAAGATTTGCCGAATTCGAAATTATTATATATTATAATCTTTGCACGGAGAGCATGTAAACCAAAAAAAAAAAAAAAAATAATGGTAAAATAATAAAACAGATTCGTTTACCCTATAGTATAATAACGTCGACGCGACGTGCCCAGGGCACTCTAGTGCAGTCGACGTTTGTATAATAATAAGTAAAATATTTAAAACCAAGTAACTGCTGGCAGATCGTTTGTACAACAACAGCAAATTATGTGTATATAATAATAATAATAAAAAATTACAATCATAACGCGATTAAAACAATATTTTATGCAGTCATGTAGGTATATATATAAGTATATTACACATACATACATACATATATGCACGCGTGTATTGTCGCATTGAAAAAAAAAAAATAATATATTTTGCATATTAGTACACTCGCTTGGATAACAATGTGTACTCATGTTTTTTATTCAAAAAACGTTTGACTTAGGTACGTTTTAAGAATATGAAATTTTTATTATAAAAGTATTTTTTGTATGCTATACTTATTATGTCAATTACCAATTAATTGCGATAGTGTTAAATAGATCAACAGAGAATTATACTTATTATAAAAATACTTAATTGTATTAAATTATTGTTTTTGATTGATAATACATGATTTTTATAGAAAATTAATACTTTAATGTAAACCCTGATAGTGCAAAATAATTTTGTTTTGATGTATAAATAAATATTACAATATTACAACTGAAAAGAAGCTAAATAAATACTTTATTAAAAAAAAAAAAATTCTTATAAAGAAACACTTTAAAAACTGAATAAAAGTTTTGAATTTAATTAATAATTAGTTCGTTATTAACAATTTAATTGAACATAACTTTAAAGATAGTAACAGAATCATTACAGTCAAAATATCAAACTAAAAAAACAAACATAAAGAGTAACTCAAACTATTAATCAAGTTACCAACGAAAACACAAGAGAAAACTTTAAAATAATAATTTACTCAGGTACCTAATAATTTATTGTTGGTACTTACTAATATTATTAGTGTTTTTAGGTAATAAGTTATCCAATTAATTTGAAATAAAGTGTTTAAAATATTTGTAATATACCATTATTGGTTAATAAAGTATTTTATTCAATCACTTGTATTACAATATTCAATTAATTAAACTGCAGTACTACATATACAAGTACGAATTTTCAATTATAATTTCATCGTAATTTTATAAAATATTAATTTGACATGTCTTATACAACCTTGAGACTTGACCTCTATCATAATTTATTTTCATTAAAAAAAAAATCTTTGGAACACTTATATTATTTATATGACATAGGTTTTACCGTGGCACACAGACAAGAGAACCACTTGAAAAAAGAACGAGCGAGAAGGCAGTGAGAAACATATCCCTTTCTATTTTTAAGCACCAAGCATTATGGCCGTTTCTGCGTAGAAGTCCATTAGTCACAGGGGCCTTTTTACACACATCCATCAGAGTTGCAAGCCCTCCTCACATCAATAGTATAACGATTGTATACATCACACACACCCTGTGTGTTGAGCAAAAGGACGGTAGGTAGACAACTTTTATTCGTCCAATGGACGAGCCCCCCGAGATAAAGAAGCTCGTTCATGCAAGGCGTATGGTGCACATAGATATATGTGCAGTGAGAGTGTAGGGGTGTAATCCGTTTTTACTGGAAACGGATCAATTTGTCTAACCTTTGCCCTGAGTTACGGTAAATATCGTCCAGCTTGGTCTCATTCCCGGCCCAGTCAGATGTATCCGGTTGAAATAAATCGTTCCGATTTCCAAAAATTGTGCAATTGTATACACCGAAAGGATTTTACGATCTATGAACGAATACTCTAGAGACTCAGGAAATAAGTTTGTTTTTCGCTAAAAAGACACGGCGATTGACAATTCGTTTGTTTTATGCTACACAATATCCGTTTTGTCTTAACTTCCGAAGTAAAACCGTATTTCCGTGTTTGCATGAAAAGTAAATGTTTAGTTGAATGATGATAATCCAAGTATAAGACTACAGTCGTATTTTATCCTTTATCGATTGGTTTTAAACTTGAAAACAATAATATATTAGTTATTACTGAAATAAATTCGATTTTTCTTATTAAGTAATAATATTTTAACAATATCTTATAAATTATTTAATACTTTTAATAATGTTTAGGCAATTAAAAATTAAATAATTTTTAATTAAAAATACATCTTACTAGCGTATAGCGTATTACATAGAAAATAGTTTAAAATAATATAAAATATGATCGGGTTAATAAGTGTTATGATTTATAAATACATAAAACACGTAAATAAGTATGAATTTGCGTAAAATTTAAAACTTGTTTATCCGTTCGAAGATAAAATGAGTTTTTAAAGATTTAGATAGGATCGTGTTGTATTTTATAAAATAAATAAAATGTGTTTATTAAAATCTTAAAAATCTTAATATTTTATAAACATAGACTTGAATAATAAATAGAGCACACAAAATATTAATAATGTATTTAGTTAGCTGATTTAAAATTAAATTATTATCGCATTAATTATAGCATTAAATACTGTGAAGTATTCGGAAAGTCCATAAAAATAGTATAACATAATAAAGTTTAAGATTTGCATTTAAGCAGTTACTATAGAATCGTGAGATATAATATAACCTTTTACTGGATTTGATTAACAAGGGAATATATCAAAAGCCAAAATTAATTATCATCTCGTAGGTCTTCATTTAAATTTTAATCAAATAATCCGTGTATAATTACGGAAAGACTCACCTCAGAGGCTCAAAATGGTAAAGGTTAAGGGGTTGTGTGCATACATTATTAATAACCAAACTTTAAAAGTCTCTTACCATTAAGCTTTCAATGTTTGAATTTAGTTGTTATGTATAACAAAGCCTACCAATACATTTAAGTCAAACAATTTTTTATGTTTTACATTACTGAAATATATATACAATAAATATATATATGTTTGAAAAATTCGTTTTTCTCTTTATTAAGCTATAAAAAATAAAATTAATCGTTAAATAAATATAATTCATTAAATTTACTTAACTCTTTGCTCATCTATTAAAAATTCATAAATTTTTAATTATTTTTAGTAACATTTTTGAATAGAATAATTTAAAAAATATATATTAAGAATAATAATAATTTAATTAATCCTTGAAAAAATAGAATAAACATAATGTGCTTAAATTGTTCATTTTCAATTGCAAAACATATTTCAAAAAGTGTTTAAAGTATAACAGAATAATTTACGTTTATACATTAATATGTTAATTACGATGTCTACACTTATATTTATCGTTTTATTTACACACAACTATCGGGTAAATTATTTCTCCTCACTATGTGCTTAAATTAAAATTTACAAAACACGTTCCAAAACCACCTTTTAAAATATTGCATGTTTAATTCACATTTAAATAAATAAGATTATTTCTTATAATTTATATTATATACGTGAATCTACACTACATGAATACAGTTCATAATGTACTTTGAATAATTGAATCACCAAAGGTATAGAGCACTAATTTGTACCAATGATGTACACAATGATGAATAACAACTAAATTAGTAGAAATATATTTCACATCAAATATATAGGTGTAGTAGCTAATTTGATTTTACAGTTGTTTCTTAATAGATTTTAACAGAGAAGATGAATTTTAATTCTTATTTCGCTAAAAAAAAATGTAAATATTACGTGTCTGATATGAATAATAAATCGATATGATTTAATGCTTTGTAATATATTTTAATTCGTATGCAAAACATCGTTTTAATTGTCTAGTTTATTGCCTGTTTTCTCGTGTCATTCGATTATTTTGATCCCCTATCATCGTTAGATGTTAGCCTCTTAATCTCACACCATAAGTCACGTTTAGGCAATAATGTAACCCTCAGTCATTTTTTCAACCGAATAACATATAGCCGGTTTATTGATAGTGCTTCACCCGTGTTCGTGAATCATAAGCGAGGATCTCATCATACCATCAGCATATTATATACCCGGTATCTTTAAATCCTCACGATTTTTCAATTTTCTTTATTATTAATATTATATTACATTTTTTTTTATCACAAAAGAAAGTCTGCATAAATAATTCATTCTGCTGACCCGAAATAGCACACATCACATACGAACAACCAACAATCCTTTATCACAAAATATCACGTTGACATTCGTATATATTAGGTATATTAAAAAAATAATAAATAAAAGAAACACAGTAAAAAACACGTTGTTCAATAAAAAAACGATCATGAATAGAACGTTTGTAAAAAAAATTATAATACAAGTTTCTATTGAATTATTAAAAATAATTTTTTTTTTTTTTAATTTAGTTAATCAAGAGAATTACGATAAATCTATCATGAATAAGTCCATCTTCTGTCCATATATAATATAATATAATATATATATATATATATTATATTCATAGGGATAGACCAATTTGCATGCATCACATTTATATAATATATGTTTTAAAGTATTTTCAAGGTATATTCTAATTAAATAAAATATTTTTAAAACATGAACTTGAATACAATTTACTAAAATTATACAAAAATCTGTTAAATGAGTTGCTATATGAATTACTATGGTTTCAACTGTTTGTTCACTATTATTATTGTAACACATGTACTAAAATTATGACTGTTTTTTTTTTTCATCTAAAGTAGAAAAATAATAATTACCCACCTTTACAAGCCTTTCGATGTGTTATGGGTTTAGTAGGATCCCTGTAGTATCCCTCCTTGCAATAATGACAGTATCTGCCAGCCGTGAAGTGTCTACACTTGAGGCACACGCCACCGCTCACCCGGCCCGACAATTTGTACAGCTCCATGTCGAATCGACATCGTTTTGCATGTTCGTTACAGTTACAAGCTGAAATCATAATAAAATATTATTATTACAACCATTTTATATTATTCATTTGTAAAGATACCATAATAAACACATAGTGTAACCCAGTTTAGGACCAACATTAGTATATCTACACTATGCGTAGTGCTTGTGTGGTAGGCATGGGTACCTACCCATGTGTACGTTTGTTTCTATAAGTTTATATACTATTCGTTTTATTCTACATATTTTAAACTTGATATATATGCAATAAATCCAAAATAGACAAAAAAATTTGATGCATTTGATAACATTTATTTTCCAAAAATAAACAAATCATTGTAATCATTAAAACATGCTTATAAGTTATAACACTACTTTTGTTTTTCATATGATAATAATGTCTATATAACATTAATTGTCATATCAACATTACTTTTCAACAAATATTTAATTATAATTATACGATGTATAATATTTTTACTGGTAAATACGTATAATTATATTTAATATAGGTAGTATATATTATTATATTATTTTTATTACTGCAGGTAGCAGAATAATGAATTATCTATAAGTAATACTTATTATAGGTATCCATGTTTAAATCATTTGAAAATAATACAATTGAAATTATTTCTATTTAAAAACTGATTTATGTTAGTAATATATCATAAACTCGAGGCTTAATAAGCTTTACCCTTAAAAGGCCAATTGTTTTAATTGCACGAAGTTGCTTTTATGGTTATAGTAATAACTATAAATTCACATTTTATCAAGTTTCGACTTCTTGACGAATTCACTTTCATTTATTCGTTAATTTTCGACTCTCGTTTATGGGTTGTTACACCTTTTGGTGGTATAATCATTATAAAGAAACTTCTAACAATTTCTGTTGAATTTTTATTTTTACGCAGAACTTACAAATTCCTTCATGCATATTAAAAATAAAAATAAAATGTTCATCTTTGATCCAGGGGCTTGGAAAAAAAAACAATATTATATGTACACATCAGTCTTTAAGAATTTATTATAATTAAATGTTCTAGTTTTAATTATTAATATAGCCATATAAGTATCATAAGTATTTCAAATTAAAGCATAATACAACTTGATTTTTTTTTAAACTATACGATTTATTATTTATTTTTAAGCTACACTACTTACTTATACTTTTACTTTTTAGTATATTCATTAAATATTTTATTATAACTCATAATAATTATTAAAAATTATATTAAGTAAAACAGTAGCATATTCTATATGTAAATAAGTTTTCCTAGGTTGGCAGTTAAAAACTATATACATAAAATCATAAATATTAAGTTGGGTTGGTTTATTTATTGTTTATCATTAGGTTAACATAGTGTTTCGAGCAGTCATTTAAAACTTAAATAATATGATTTATTTTTAGTGAATTTGACAATACTTTTCTTACTGTTTATTGTTTAACCTAGCTATGTAAGTTGTTAGATTTTGTATTTCAGTTTGATATTTTATATTTGGATATTTGCAAAACTTATAACATTAAAAATAAATAATATAACATCATCAATTTTCGGTACCTAACGCATTATTTTCATGAGACAATTTGTTTATTACTGACCATAAATATTTTTAATATTGATGTAACAAGCGAATGGATGATAAAAATTTAAACATTTGAATAGAACTCAAAGAAATGAAACATTTATGAAGAATGACGACAGATGAAAGATGAAAAAAAATCAAGAGTTTGTCACATATTAATAAACTCTCTATATATAGACATGATATTTAGGGTCGGTTAGTGAATGTAACTGTGAGGGTTAAGGTTTAAAGAGTTCCGGTAATTCACAATATACCACCATATTTATACAATAAGAAGTAAGAATATATTTCAATAATTACCAACCAATTCAGAAAGTTATAAATTTATAATACTAATAGTTTTATCATCTTAAAAAATTTCTCGATTTTATACACGTTTAAAAAACTACTAAGATATACACTTTTATAAAATGTATTAAAATTACCGCTATTAAAGTTAAAATTTTTCAGTACACCTGTAAGCTATTGTATTATTCATACACAATATTATTATTATAATTTATACTTATTATACTTAGGTATAACTTATAAGTTATAAGTAAAAAATGAAGAACACTACAAGTATCTCACAAATATTCTTTTAATACCAGTCGTCAAAAAATATATAGTCGTATATTATATTATTCTTCAAGTTTTTCTGAATAATGAATGGTAGAGGTTATTGTATGTACACTAAACTGTTTTCGGCTCCGATAGTAAATACATATTAAGCGTATTATGTACATTCTAGACGTATATTTTATCTTTATGCTTTAAATATTATTATCATCATCAACATCCCACTCAAGAAAATACGGAACAAATCAGAACGAAAAGATTAACCTTAAATAAACATAATCGTGTACATATAAATTGTAGTGTACACATATAATTAATGAAACTCGTATCGATTTTACATGTCAATACGTATTATGCGCGATAAACTCAAAAAAAGAAAAGTAGATACCTACCTAGTACTTATCTGCTTTGTGAACGAACCTAACCTGACATCCGTCAACACTTGCACATTAAGTGCGTGAGTACCTATTACACTAATAATCGTTCATCGAAATAATGACTGGATTTTAAAATTAAAATTAAAAATGCCAAATCAGTAATTATTATGTATTATCACCTACTCAAAATACTGTGTTGTCCGGCATGTGTGCATCGTCAGTAATCCGGAACCATACGTGTGTAAATTATGGGCGGACGGCTGCGGCGGAGTACTGTACAGTTACGACACGTTGTATGGCCCACAGGTATAATACGTATGACCACTATTAGTCAGAGGCGGATTAAAATACTACGAAATCATGGTCAATTAACTAATTAAATCGAAATGCAGAGGAAAGATTTTTGATCGGATCTATAAAGCCTCTGGAATTATTATCATACCACATTATACATTATTGTATACCTACTGAAAAAGCGTGATCGTGAGCGTGTGTACGCGCACGTGTGTAAATGAAGGTATTTATACATATTATATAAGTAGTCAAATGGAATGAAAGAGAGTCACTTACAGTTAAAATAACAAGCGATCAGAAGCGAAATCATCGAGGGTCAGTTTCTATTTATTTTCTTTTTCTAGACCATACAGATGTCAATAATGTAGTATAGGCTAATTGCTCGATATTAAATCTTCCATGTAATTGAATTCCTTAGTAACAGCAAAACCAACGCGATCGGATATTACGATAGTAATAGAAGAGTCATAGGACCTGTTCAGGCCTGTTTGATTTCAAATGTGCATGATTAAAGAAAAATCTAAGCGACGTTGTGCATGTATAATATAATAAGAAAGCCTGTCAACGTTGGTTATGATTTGTGATTTTATCAGATCATTTTATAACTAAAGCCCACAATAAAAATGAAAATCGCCATTTAAGTAATTCACACGGTTATTAGATTTATTTTTTGAAATACAAAATTGAAATTAACTTTCTTCTAGGTATAAATTTTATACTAATTATTGAGAAGTACGAAGGTTTTTAAATATTAACCTTAGAACATGCCATAAGTGTTAATATCGAATAAAAATTACTTAAGTATGAACGAGATAGAAAATAACTTTAAATCAATTATTTTAACTTTTAAGACATTAGACTAGATGTAACTAATGACCGTATTTATATAGAACACATTATTTACGGTAAAATTTCTCAAATTAACTAATTTGGAATAGATAATATAACATATATTATAAACGTATATCAAAACCATAAACAGCTTTATACTCTAAATATTATATAATGCTTTGCTTTACCAATAATTAATACAAATTTTCTTTCTATTGGGTTTTATTATACTAGAATAATTGAATGAATTTAGTATGATATCGAAGAAAACATTTTTAGAAAATACAATATGTAAATAAACGCAAGAAAAAAAAATATAAAATCAATTAATAGGTAGCTATAATAAATTTAATCACATAATATAATACATTAAGTATAAATTATATTATTAAATATTAATTTTAATATACTTTATTAAAAGAAAAAATTGTAACCACATATTATTATTTACGTCAACAATAAACTTTAACATAATATTATAATATTAATTTCATCAAAATGATGATAATTGTTATTGTAATTATTACCGTTTTGATGACTATTACCTATTAGCTAGGTACTACCATTACTATTAGTATTGCTAATTACTATTTACTATACTATGATAATAGACAAGGTGATTCTTTTATCGAACAGGATTCATTATTTTAAAACTTATTAATGTTTTTGATAATAATATTTTACATAATTTCTAATCAAATAAAACAACATTAAAAAAAAAAAATTATATTTTTTAATATTATTTAAATTTTTTATCTTTTTGAATGACAACATACAACATACATTTTTAAATTCATATTCTAAAGCAAAATATTTTTCAAAGTATTTCATTACATACAAAGTGTATTGGTAGACCAATATTTTGCGGGTTATCCTCGTACTACTCCACTCCGTTCATCTAAACTTCAAATACTTATAAACTAATGTTTGAATTTCGATTTTCATATATCTAAATACTTTAAAACATATTCTGCTTAAGAGTATAAAACTAAAAATGTATCTTGTCGTTCAATAAATGTAAAAATCTTCAAAAAAATATAACAGTAAAAAATATTAAAAAAATATAATTTTTTTTAAAATATTGTTCTATTTTGACTGGAAGTTATGTAAAATATTATTTAAAAAAACATTAATAGATTTTAAAATAATGAGCGTTGTTCAAATAAATGTAATGCTTACAATAAAACAGCCCAAGAGAAAATTATCAAAACATAGTAAAAATATTAAATTATATATTAAAACTACCTATCGGATTATGTTATTATTATTATTATTTTTTTTTTTAATAAAGATAATTTTTTGTGTTGTAAAAAAATGAATATTAAGGTAGTAGATATATTATATATATATATAAATATTTAGTAGCAGTAATTTATTTTAAGGGATTTAATC